TGAGGTCCATTCTTAGCATCATTCATTTAGATCAACCCTGTTTTGTTACCATCATAACCTGAGTGAATTTTTTATATCGTACTCCGTATAAGTTTCTTATAGTTTAATTCGTTTCAATCTTAACAAGGTCAAAATAAAATTAATTTAGACACAAGTTAATATTTCTCTAATAACACTAAAATATTGTGTAATTAGTCAAGTCTACCATGGCTTAAATAAAACTTAACTGAAATGATGTGTAAAAGAGAAACTCAAGAGTGGACATATTGGTAAACACTCCATTTAAATATGTTTTGCATATGCCCGTACATTTGGTAGGTATACATGCAGTTCATTAAAAAAAGGATTTTTTTAGAGAAATATGACTATAAGTTTAACCATTAAACATAAGTTACTATGATTCGATTAGTATTTTTTCACTAGTCACATTTTTGTAATCGATTTTTATTTTAGTCATAAAAGAAGAAGCCAAAAGTTAAACCATACTACTACTATAGTAGCATTGTTCTTCAATTGCTATCTTAGAACTTTTTATCGATGTGTGATGACTCAAATTTTATTCATGAAAAAGTTATAAATTCATTACAAATGATGTCGGTACACATATTTTGTACACATTTTGTATATATCCGATAGTTGTCTATCTACATATGCATTTCGTTCATAAGAGTCTTGTAGATAGACAACTAGGCGTGTGCATAAAAGGTGGGCAAAATAGACACACTAAGTGTGGTTAATTTTTTTTTAACTTTTTTGAATAATTTAGATTAATTTTAGATCTCTTGATAAATTTCTTGATAAATTTATATGGATGTTTAATGGATATGGAATTCGAGACTCCTATATTTATGGTTGAACACTCTTATATGCCTGATTATCATGATAATAATATTGAGAAATGGGGAGTTAGTGTAATTGGTTTAGGAATAGTATAATTATAGCTAGGAGAAATGTTTATTCATGACTCATTGAGCGGAAAAATAACTTTAATCCGCTCGACATAGTTAGAAACGCAGGAACTCAGATCATATTTGCCGATTCCGACTCACTGAGTCCACCAAAATTTAAACTCCAATACCAAAACTGATGATTCCGGCGCCGGCGACTTTATTCCTTAACTAATAAAAAAAAGAGGTTGAGAAGCTTTGGCTCTTTCCCGGCGGCGTCTCTCACGCCCCGCCACACACTCTCAGAACTTCCATACACCTCCGATGATGACGTCTCCGCCGGGATCCTTCTCTGCTGAGCACCGCCGTTGATCGTCGGCAACGGACGACTCCAGAGATGGGACGGCTGAGATTGGGTAACCACGGACTGACCCGGTTGAGTCCACGCGCTCTTCTGGAAGGTTCCTGATGGTTCCCGGGTATTAGGAGGGTTCAGACAATCGGCCGCGATCGGCTGCAGAGCTCCGCCGGCGAGAACAGTCTCCACCGCTTGTACGCATAGGTGCCAATTCCCGGTGGAGAGAAGCCCCACCGCACCGCCCACCGGATTCACCGTCCGTCCACATGCTTCGTATAACAACGACCTAAACAGAGCTGCTTTAATTTTCATAAAAAAAAAACCAGATTATACATGCAGTCGATTTAGAATTTCAGACACAAAATTGAATAAAAATGAAATTGGGGTTGACGGAGAGGTGGTGTTTGGGTGTACCGGGCCTGCGGTGGACGGGGACGGAGGAGATGAACGACATCAGGTCGGCACGGCCGAAGAATTTGGAGACGAAGAGAGTGGCGTTGGCTTGGGCTTGAGCGCTATCCAGCTCATCCAAACACGGTCTAAGGATGCAATTGGGCCCACATCCTCTTCGAAGCACCTTGCAGCCATTGCAACTCATCTTTCTTCTTGTGCTATACTTGAGAATAGGAAAGAAGAAGAAGAAGCAGAGAAAAGAAATACTCTGTAGAGAAGAAAGTGTTTGGATGGCTGTGGCTCCGATCAGAAACGGATAAATATAAGAGTAATGGTAAGTGACATCATCATGGAACAATTATTTCATAAACATTCCTATCTTTTTGTCTTATTTTGCAAATATACTTCTTGTTTAGACTTTGGAACACTTGGTATCACCCCAGTAAGTATCCTGCTCTCATACCCAAAACGACATAATTTTGCATTTAAAAACAAATGTGTGAACCGTAACGCGTGAACAATAATTTTTTTCCCTTTTTTGTTCCAGTGACATAAATGGTGTAACTCGCGTGTAAATTAATGTAATTCACATTATTGATTTATGTAACTCAAGCCTAGTCGAAATGTAACTTGCTAAATACATGATATAAGAAATAAATCATTGATTTCAATATAAACAATGAAAAAAGAAGTCTAATTGCTCGATTAATTTACATAAATAATGAATATGTTTTGTTTTTTAATATCATGATCATAAAAATGATTTTAAAAAATGTTTTAGTAGTAGGGGTTGATTTTTTGGTGTAACTCATGTTATTATTTATGTAACTCACGTAGATGGCAAATGTAATACAGATGTATACAAATGTAAGTTGAGTAATAAAAGATGTAACTCAATGTAAAATGTAACTCAATGTATTATGAGATGTAACTTTAGCATGTTTAAAGGTGAATGGCTTTTAGGGAAGATGTAACTGGCCCATTTAAGTCATTCATATACAGAGTACGCTGCACATGTTCATCCTTGCGCATCCTGGACATCTATGTTGGTGAAACAGCAGGACAATTGCGGCGAAAATAAATTCCATTAGCTTCGGATTCTTTATCACAACATATATATCAGACCAGCAACAGTAGCAAGTAACAACCTCCTGAATCGATCTTAGACGGAATATCTCAATAACCAGGGAGGGTGACGACCTCTCAATCGCAGATTGAGACCAAAAATTGGAACTCAGGGAGGGCGACGACAGCTTGGACGGCCATCTGCGAATTGGCGGAGGCAGAAGCGTAGAGTTGCACTCCAAGACAGATGCACAAGTATAAAGAGGGTGGAGGAGGTTTGGAAAGTTTTAACAAAAACGATGCCGTTTTGCGACCGGGCACACCATCGTCATGGTGCGCCGGTTGCACGGTATAATTTGCCACATTCAAACGGACCAAATTACTTAAATCTATTACAATTGGTGAAATTTTAGCTGGAACAATTCAATTTGTTGAACCATTTAAAATATATTTTATCAATAAAATAAAAAAAAAGTATATGAAACATACAAAGTATATAAAATGAACATTTGCAATGATTTCAGTCAATTGGAAAAGACATAATTGCATCCTTATTCATTTTGTCAATAATTCAACGCATAAAATAAAAAGTTACGCATTTGATCAAAAAAAAACCGATAAAAGTGATAACCTGAAAATGAAGTTACCAAATGAGCTTTAAAATTATTTGAACCATATTTGAACCATAAAATTCTTTCATTCATATTCTCCACTAAATATTTTCTTCTATCTTTTCAAATTTCGTGCGTGTTTAACGAATTAACGGTTCTATTCAATTCAATCTTATATTACTCCCTCCGTCCCTAAATTATCTTCAAACTTTCCTTTTTGGTCCGTCCCTAAATTATCTCCTTTTTCCCTTTTTGGCAAAGGATTTGTGGTTCACAACAATTCTTACACATTTCTCTCTCCTCTGCACAACTCTCCACCACACAAAACTCACTATCTTAATCCCCGTGCCGGGTCAAAATGGGAGGTAAATTAGGGACGGAGGGAGTAGGAAGTATCCCAATTCCCAATATACTACTGACTACTCCGTATGAAGGAATGTAACAGTTCACAACTTCACATTTTATTTAGGGAAAAAGGGCAAAAACCCCCTTGGAGTTGTCAATAAAGGGTACATATGCCCTTAAAGTATTTTTTTGTGTAAAAACCCCGTAGAATATCTAAAAGAAGGGCAAATGACCCCTTCCGTTTAACGGTGAACTAAAGCATGCATCTGCCGTCAAAATGAAATGGAGTACTTTAAAATAAATTAATAAAAGTGGGGGAATTTGCAAAAACGTAGAGTTTAAACCCTAAATTAACTAAACTCCTTTGATAGCAAGCATTTCTCTGCAACTCAAATTGAAGCTCAATTTAAGACGCCCGATTGCCGGCATCTCTCAGCAACTTATATCGAAGCTCAGGTTAAGCCGCTTCCCTCTTCTCTCTTCAATCAACTAAGCCGCATTTCTCTTCTCAGTTCATGAAATCTTTGGGGAATAGCTTGTAAATTTCATTGTAAGAAGCTCAGGTTGGAACACATCATCTCCTTTCCTTTTAAACGTCCAATACACAAACTTTAGTTCATATTTCATATCTTTCTTTACTGTATGTAAATTATATATGTATCGTTTGTGTTGCTTATTATGTAGGTCATATTTATTATCTTTTTTTATACTTTTGTTTAGAGTTTACCATCGGTTTATGTATGTGTAGTATAGCTTAGAGTTTTTAGTACTTAATTGATTTTTTTTTCATTTTGTGGAGATGGTCCATATCACATGCAACAGCGAACTTGTGATAATTTAAGTTGTCCTTGTTGTCTTAATGTTTAATGGGTCTCTTAGCTATTCTGCAGTTTTTTATTCTTAATGGCTCTCTTAGGTAGTTTTATTCTTAAAACTTGGGTTATCTCTTTTCTGATAAATTAGCTACCCTCTTGCAAAAAAAGCAAACTGTTAGAGCTTAAGGTTTGAAAATGGTCGAGTCTTAAATTTAGGCTACAAGAATTTCAGAGGCATTGGGAAGTCTCATAGTTACACCTAAGCAAACTTTTGGATTTTCAGGTATGGAAATTTTGCTTGTTAGTTTTCTGCAATTTTTTATTCTAACTCTAACATAGATGTTTATAGTGATTTTTTTAATTACTTGTCACAGAATGGAGGTAGATGAATTGGATTACATCTATAGTGGTGTTCCAACCGGCTATGTTAGTGATATAGAAGATGATAATGAAAATGAATTGCAAGAAGTCAGCAGTGATGAAGAATCTGGGGAAAAAGAAAGCTCTATAGAGGATACTGAAATGCTTCATGACCAACATAGTTGTGCAGCAGAAAGTGGAGAAATGCATTTTATGATAGGAATGACATTTGCTAATGCAAAAGAAGCTAGAAGTGCTATAGCTAACTATTCTGTCGCGGCAGGGGTTAAACTCAAAATAGACCCGAATGAACCTCAAAGAATTAGGGCGAAATGTGTGAATGAAGTAAGTTGTCCATTCAACTTATACATATCTAAAGATGGAAAAAATCAAGGTTTAGCTGTGAAGACATTGATCAATGAACATAAGTGTTTTAGACATTATTCCCTAAACACTGCTTCAGCAAGTTGGTTGGCCAAGTATTTTAAGGACAAAATTTATAAAAATCCAAAGTATACTGCTCAAATGATGAAAGATGATGCAGAGAAGGAATTGAAGATCAACGTAGCTACTGACAAATGTAAAAGGGCTAAAAGACAAGTTATTCAAGAGTTGGATGGATCATTTAAAGTGGAATTTAGCTATCTCGCAGCCTATGCTGCTTCACTTAAAAGAAGTAATCCGGGCACAAAGGCTGAGATTGATTTAGACAAAGAAGCTCTGAAAGAAGGAAGAAGAGTGTTCAGAAGGATGTTTATATGCTTCGAATCATGCAAAAGAAATTGGTTGAATGGGTGTAGACCTCTAATAGGACTTGATGGGTGCTTCTTAAAAGGAGTTACTAAAGGTCAATTATTAGCAGCTGTTGGTGTGGATGGCAATGATCAGATGGTTCCAATAGCTTGGGCAGTGGTAGATAAAGAAAATAAAAATAATTGGAAGTGGTTTTTATGTTGGCTAGCACATGAGCTTGATTTGGATGATGGTTCCAGATTAACATTGATCTCGGATATGCAGAAGGTAATTTAAGAGTTTATTATTATGTATATTTAAATTTATTGTTCCCTGTTACACATTGACTAATAACGTTTCATACTTCTTTAGGGTTTACTTGGATCTATACAGTTGGTGGTTCCCCAAGCTGAACATAGGTGGTGTGCTAGACACGTTTGGGCAAACTGGTCAAAGAAATGGAATGGCGGTGAATTAAAGAAAAAGTTCTGGATATGTGCATGGAGCACATTTGAAGAAGAATTCAAGGAAAATTTAGAAAAAATGGGGAAAGTAAGTGCAGAATAATAAATAATTATACATTAAATTAAGTAGAACCTTTTATTACTAAATAATGTCATATTCTTTTTTTTAGGTGAGTAAGAAAGCTGCAGAATCCCTAGTCTGGTATCCTCCTTCGAGGTGGTGCAGAGCCTACTTTAGTAGACGATGTCACTCACAGATGGTAGACAATAACATAACAGAATCTTTCAATTCATGGATATTAGAAGCCCGACACAAGCCTATCATAAGCATGCTTGAAGAAATTAGAACCAAAGCTATGATAAGGATAAAAGAGAATAAGAAGTTGTCAGATAAGTGGTTCAATAATTGGTCACCCAAATCCATGGAGTTTTTGCAGGATAATAAAGAGCTTGCTGTGGGTTGCAGGATTGTATTTAATGGTGATTCAGGTTACGAGATAGGGGAAGGTGATACTAAGCACACAGTTTTTTTAAACAAACAACAATGCACATGTAGAGGGTGGGATCTTACAGGAATTCCATGCCCACATGCATTGTGTGCTTTATATCATAGCAAGATTGATCCATTGTCAATGATGGCAGATTGGTATAGCAAGAAAAGGTACTTGTCTGCTTACCATTTTCATATGCAGCCTGTTCCCGGAAAGATGTTCATGCAATGTGATCAATATGAAGCTATCGAGCCTCCAAATGTTGTGAAGATGGCTGGTAGACCACGACATAAAAGAATTAGAGCTTCAAATGAACGTAATCCAAATCCAACAAAATTGAGCAGGAAAAAGATTGTGCAAACATGCAGGTTATGCACTCTTACAGGTCACAATAGGACTACTTGCCCAAATGGGAGCGACCAAGTAATAATACTTTTTTATACTTGTTTTTTTTAAACTAGTGTATACTTGACTGGCGTTTATTTATCATATTTTGGTTGTTAACCTTTTATTTACGTTTAGGTACCACCGCAAGGGAAAACACCAAAAAGTAGACCCACAAGTTCAACCAACCCTGCATGTACTACGCTAAGATCTGTAGCTTCAGTTCTAAAAAGTCATCATGCGACCACTTCTGCACATGCAAATGAATCTTTCAACATACCTAGTTCTTACACTCCAGTAGACTCAATGGGATATGGTTGCTTTGTGGATGAAGTTACTGGCAGAACAGTGCTCAATGTACAATACTACCATAATTATTGAACTTGTGATTTTTTATATTTTGTGTTATACCTAAATATTTTATTTACTACCTTTATTTATTTTGCAGCCTGGTATGGAGTCTGCGACAGTTATTGCAGAAGGTGCGTCAATAATGGAGATCAATCCTGATGCTCAGACCAAAATGGCGATACCGTGTGAAAGAACATTACGCAAAAAACTGCCTTTTAAAAGGTCATGTGAGATCACAAGGAATATTCGATTTTGTGGAGATGGATATGATGTTAGGGAACCATCAGCACTCCCTTTTCAGTCTTCCGGTTTGAATTGGGAAGGAAATCCCGCGATTACAACAAGGCAACTTCAATCACACCGTGATAAGGTTGTCAACCAGCATGATGGATGGGGAGACATATCCCATGGATAACATATGTTGAAGGATGAATTCTTTTTTGCACTAACTGAGCATTTTGTTGCTGCAGTTTTTCAGTCATCACTTATTGATATGATTAGAAACCCATAACTAGAATTCACTTTTTGACAAAGGTGTTATTTTTTGAGGCCAACGAATATTCTTTGGATGAATATATGTGCTGATTTTATGATTAATATGTTCTAGATTTTACTTTTACAGAGCACAAGCTGAAATATATGCCCTGAAATTACTCAAAGATACTAACATATGTGTTATATACGGTCCATGCCTGTCAAATGGGTGACTTTAACAGTTTTAAGTTCTGTTAAGTTAACTCTGTTAATTAAAGGGGGTGATTGCCCTTCTTTCATATTTTTAAAAGATTTTTGCACAAAAAAATAGTTCAAGGGCATATGTGCTCTTAAGTGACAACTTCAGGGGTGTTTTTGCCCCTTTTCCCTTTTATTTATGTGATACATACGTACTCCTAAACTTCTTCATGGCAAGACAATACTCCTAAACTATTGGACTTCACCATAGTAGATTGAAGTCATTGAACACAGTGGAGAAGCCGGGGAGGGGCATGAGCGCCCCCGCTTCGGGCAAAAACAATTAGTACTATTACTTATACTCCGTAATATATTTAGTGCATCCCTTCTTCTTTTCAAAAATCAATACCAATTTATATTAATTTTAGATTAAGTGTTAAAATAAAAGGCAAAGCCTTTCAGGAAACGTACATATTTCTATGAATGCAAGTATTGACTACAGCATACCACACTCATTTGAATGCAAGTGTGCATTGTTTTAGACCTTTAATGACACAAGAGTTTGCTTTTTGTGGTTATATTGAGCAAGAAAATATTGAGTTTGACGAATATGTCGTCACATTTCTTGCAATGAAAAGATCAAAACATTCTCGAGACTGTTGGATTTCCTCCTTAGTGGAGAAATTCATGAGAATTTTATAATTTACGTACAGCCTTACAAAGATGTCTAAGATTCTCTATATGTGTGTAGAGAAGTATTGAATGTTCTGGAATAATAATGTGGAGTTTATAGAAAAGTGTGGAACTCACTAAAATCGTGTGGAAGTGTGTGAAAGCATTTAGAACATTTTGAAGAATCGTGAAGGTCTCTAAATCATTCAAGAAGATTAGAGAAGTTTGTGGATACTTTTTGGAAGAATCTAGATGTGTAGTGATGTAAAAAAAATTCTAGAGAAGTTTCGATGAGATTAGTATAAAGAAGTTTTCTATTTCTATGAGAATTTGGAGGAGAGCTCTTGAGTGATTGAAAGTGAGAGTCTCCTTGAGAGAGGAAAGTGAGAGCCTTCTTGTGAAAGAAGAAGACTCAAAGATATCGTTTGATGAAGTGTATGTGATAATGATCGAGTTAGGTAGAATAAAATATTCCCAAAATACAAAGAGTGAATGTGGGTAATAGAAAGTGATTTTGTAAGATAGAGTCATTGTATTATGAGTGTGTGGATAAGTGCACAAAAATTTATGAGTTCATGATCCTAAAAATGACAGGGAGTCGTATTTTTCCAACATGAAGTTATTATACATCATTTTGAATAAATTAAAACTAATTTGATCTAACCAGATTATAGATACGAGTCAAGCAATATGTAATAAACTAATTTGTGTTAGCATATTACGCTTTTATTGTTTTTATTACATTTTGAGCAATTACACAATAATTCTTAGCTTTCGGTACGCCTCTCTTTCGAAAAATCTCTCACTCCGCCACTGATTGAAGATAATCAAGTACATGCACTACGTACTTATGGTTGAACTGTTCTTTTTTATACGTTGGTTTGTAAACTACTTCTTGTGTACGTTCGATTTTTGATTTATGAACATAAACTTTTTTCTATCACAAACAAAATATTATTATCTGTGATACTACAAAATAATTGTTTGTTAAATAAGCAAAAAGTCGGCATGTATATAAGCGGACGTGTACAAGAACCAAAGTTTGGTAGCTAGTTTCACTCAATAATCTTATCAACATATCAGACTATTAAATGTCTCGTTGGATACAAACAATCAAGCATCACTACCTGAAGTGGTTGATCAAACCACTTGAATTTAATGTGTTGCTCACTTGTAATTATAACCGTCCACAAGTGAAGCTTCAATTTGGCGTTACTGAATTCCGATAATTAAGCCACATGATATGAAAGTGGATAAATTTGATATTATACAATGACAAAATTCCATATTATTATGAAACCAATTGAATTGACACCAATTTAACCGAAGATATATTTTGGGAATCAACCTTTTTGTCAAATACAAGTCTTTACAAAACGGGTTAGTACAAATATTATTTATGTACGGAGTATATTTTAGTCTAGATTACGGGCGTGAATATTTGATCTCAAAGTCATTATAAAAACACTCAAGCACCCAAAACATAGGAGAAATTTTAAGGAGGATCTATAGCATTAGTGCCATCATTTTAGTCAAAAAAAAAATAAAATAAAAAATAATAAAAAAACAAACAAAAAAAACAAAAAAACAAAAAAAAACAAAAAAAAAGTGCCATCATTTTAGTCCATTCATTTTTTAGTTGGGACTCCACTATAAAAATGAGTAAGTATGGACTTATGGTAAGATCACACATGTTTATATAATTCCTCAAAATTTGTCAACTTAAAGGAGTCATCGAGAGATAATCATACACATTTTATTTATATTGTAAGATAATCATCAATCATTCGTAGAACTCACTACGGAGTATTATTATATGTTTGTGCGCGGGTGTTTTATTGTTTGTGTAATGAAATGACTAATTAGCATTTAGCATCATGAACATAAACATTTTTATCGTTTTCTATTCGCTAGTTACAAGATGTATAACTTGCCATTATATCTATATTCATACGAATATAAATAAGTAGCTGTGAATGAGATATTGTATAAAAGAGAATTCAGTTTGGGACAGAGTGAACACATCCATGTTCAGGTCGGAAAATCGGACCAAGCGATTGATCTCAGGACCGAACCGGTCTAAGCTCAGATTTTTTACTAAAATTCAAACCGTGTCCAATACCGATTTGATATGGTCATACCACCGTCTCATCGGTACGACCAAAGAATATCCAAAACGTTACATCCGGTTGGATTTTAGACCGAACTCATATAGGTCCGACCTATTTCGATTCAGTGCATGTGGTCCGATTTTGGATAGAAGCTCACCCCTACACAGGGAAGAGACACAAGTCATATCACCAAGGATTTGGATCTTCTGCCGCACGACAGAGGTGCCTTGCGGGATCCAACGACAGGGACAAAGGGGAGGAGAGGTTGTGGGGCTGCCTTAGTTGAATCGTGTGGCTATTAAAACCACACACTGTACCTGACAAAACAAAGTAGAGAATCCCGATTCTACCACTAAGCTAGCCAAATTAGCCAATGATGTAGACATGTAGTTGTGAACAAACTTAACACATACTAATACTCCTTAAGGTAATTCTCCATCTTTTTAATTTTAATTTTAATAGTTTGAATGAATTACATACTAGTATTAGTTAATATACGCTTTTTTTTTTTTACCAATTACCATCATCAAAATACGTTTTAATTTCTGAATGGTATGAAAAACGATTTGGACTTTCTTTGTGTGATGGAACTAAGGGAACATATATGGATCAGGCTCTTCTAACTTTTATCATAGCAAAATCTTACATTGTCGACTGTTTGCACTCAAGAGCATGGGATAGTACTTTTCTATATATAGCACATGCGGCATGCATTATTTGTTATACGGACCACTATACTTAGACCTATTTGGTAGCACTCTTGGAGGATTTAGAACTGCAAAAAATTCTAAAGGTACCCCAAAATGTACCCCATTTTGTACCCACCCCCCTGAATTGCTTGTGTACACAGGCAATTCGTTTGAAAGAGGGCAGGACTTTCTGTCCAAATGTCTGTGTACACAGATGGTGTACAGATTGGGGTACAAATTGGGGTACTCCAAGCAGGACTCTTAGAACTGTTAGGTAACCTTGGTTTTGTATGCATCACTCTACTTTTTTTATTATACCAAATATGTAATTTATTATTTTTAACCATTCCTCTTCTCGTTAAATTTGCTGAAAAGGACTATTTAACTATTTTATTCTTTATTCTTTATTTATTAGAAAAATTAGTTTTAAATATAAATTTTTCATGTTCAGTAAATTCAGCCAATATGGTCGCTTCGGCTAGACGTTCACAAACTTGAGCAAATTCAACATTTTAGCCAATTCCAATATTACTAAGGAGACTATTATTATATATATTTACAGAGTAAATAAACCAATACGACTAAACAAGCTGTTACTTTACTCTGGTTGATTTTTTTTACCAACATTACTTAATTCTAAATATTCGATCATATGCTTAATAAACGTATGACGAAGTAATTAACTCATAAACAATTTTTTTTTTAATAAATCATTCAAATGACATTATTATTGCTTACGAGTGAAAATAAGCGAAAAAGACCTAGATGAGATAAAAATGACAGATTCTTAAATGTGGCATATGATTAATTAAGACATTTAATAGTAGGTTTTAAAAGTACAAAATACCACATCCGTCCCCCTAAGTTTAGAACAAGAGAAGGTGACACGGTTATTAATAAAAGTGGGTTTATGTGGTTGATATTGAATTGATAAAGTAAGAATAAAGTAGGAATGATTTAGAACCACACAAACTTTACCAAATAAGGTATGAGACAATCTTAGAGCATCTCTAATGCTACAATGTGCACAGTGCACATGTGGCATGAGAGATATAGACACAAAATATTGATTTTTTGACATTTCTCTCTCTTTCTTTCAACGGTGTTATGTGTTCTTGGTAAGTTTTTGTCTGTAATGCATGTCAACCACAATGTCTACATCTAGACATTGTGTTTGACATTGTG